CATTATTGCTTTACCTATTATTAATTCCGTAAAAGAAACCAGGTATAACATCCATCTCCTCCTAGTGGCAGGAGAAGGTGCTTTTCTCCAGCCAGACAGTCTCGCGAGGCTGCCACCAAGTGGAGCAGACAGCCAGGCAAGGAAAGAGGGAGGGGGCCGGAGCCCGCCCTGCGCCCCTAGCTGCAGCCCAGCCACGCAGGGAGGAAGGCAGCGGGCATCCATCTCCCCCGCGCCGAGAGCGCGCTGCGGCGACCACTGCACAACGGAGCGCAAATTTCCCCTCCACCCCTCCTCCTGGGGGCTGGTCTATCTGCCTGGCTCTGGGAGCAGCTGACCTTACCCTCAGAAGCTTTGTGTCGCTTTCTACATTTTCTCGCTGAGATGGGGACGGGAGCCCGGTCCCCCCACCCTCTTTTCCCTCCTCCCGGGGCTCGCCGCTGAGCGCCCACCCCTCCCTCTCTTCCTCGTTCCCTCTCTCCCGCCCTCCTTTCCTCCTCTGCCTCCTCCGCAGCCGGACCAGCTCCCTCCTACATCTGGCGCCTAGAGACCCTTGGGATCCCGCACACACTCACTGTCCTGGACCAGCTCCCGACAGAAACCTCCCTGAGGGGCTTGGGTCGCCAGAGCCGCTGTCCTCTGTCCCCTCCAACCCCCCACCCCCCGACGGCTGGGGGGAGAGGGGAGGAGGTCGCGCGCCCCCTCCCCGGCGCCAACTCCCCCTGGCGGTCGCTCCCATGGGTGTCGCTGGGCCCGCGCCATGCCTAAGGGGGCGCCGCGATGGGCCATGGGGACGAGAGCGAGCTCATCGTGATCAATGTGGGCGGTACGCGCCACCAGACGTACCGCTCGATGCTGCGCAACGCTGCCCGACACGCAGCTCGCCTGGCTGGCGGAGCCCGACGCCCACAGCCATTTCGACTATGACCCGCGTGCCGACGAGTTTTTTTCGACCGCCACCCAGGCGTCTTCGCGCACATTCTGAACTACTACCGCACCGGCAAGCTGCACTGCCCGGCCGACGTGTGCGGGCCGCTCTACGAAGAGGAGCTGGCCTTTTGGGGCATCGACGAGACCGACGTGGAGCCCTGCTGCTGGATGACCTACCGCCAGCACCGGGACGCGGAGGAGGCGCTGGACAGCTTTGGCGGCGCGCCCCTGGACAACAGCGCGGACGACGCGGACGCCGACGGCCCTGGAGATTCGGGCGACGGAGAGGACGAGCTGGAGATGACCAAGCGCCTGGCGCTCAGCGACTCCCCGGACGGACGGCCCGGCGGCTTCTGGCGCCGCTGGCAGCCACGCATCTGGGCGCTCTTTGAGGACCCCTACTCATCTCGCTATGCCAGGGTAAGCGACACTTACCCATCGGAAGATGGGGCGAGGGTGGGGGTGTATTCGATAACTGGTACCTAGTGAGTCAAAGCTGAAAGGCGGTGCGTGCGGTGTGTGTAAGAAAGGGGATGGTTTTTTTTCGAGGGTGACTAGTTTTGTATGTAGTAAGGTCTGTGTATTTCCGGATTTAATATGTATGAGCGAGTATGAATGGGTGTGTTTGTGTGTGCATATTTATGTAAGTGTGGTGGTGTATATTTGGGTGGGTAAAGGATGTAGTGAGAAGGCGTGAGCATGTGCGTATGTTTGAGTGTGCAGGAGTGCCTGTGCGTGCATGTGTGTGTCTGCAGATGTACACGGTGAAGGTCTGAGCTCCCCTTTGGGTTTAGGTGTGGGGAGGGAAGCTGGGCACCCTTCCTTCTTCCCAGGTAAGGGCATCTGGGGCCAGCCAGGGCCCATGGACAAGGGCTGGAGGCCTGGGTCTGCTGCTTGAGATGGACCCCCTCCCTCCAACAGGGAGCAGCCTCAGGCCATTCTGAGGA